TCCTTCCTTCCTTCCTTCCTTCAATCATCAGGTCCTTCTTTCCTTCAATCATCAGCTCCTTCCTTCCTTCCTTCCTTCCTTCCCTGCCTCCCTCCCTCCCTCCCTCCCTCCCTCCCAATCCCAAGGTGTTGTTTATTTAGTTGGTTGGTTTCTTTGTTTATTGTTTAATGGGTTTAATCTTCCCCATCTTTGCATCTCTAGGTAGTGAAATTTGACATCGTGACGAAGCAGAGACTTCACTGGGAAGAAGAGCATTGTTGGCCGGCTGAACCTGTCTTTGTTCCTAGCCCGAATGCCAAGGAAGAGGATGATGGTAAGAGATACGAGGGTCCTGGGGAGTTGGGCAAAAATTTAGGACTCCATTAAAGCTAGTGGTACTCATGATAACAATGATAAGGATAAGAATGTGCTATCAACATTCTGACTTACAGCAACACTTTTGAAGGTTTTGTTCTAAAGTATAAAGTACTCAGTTTACCATATTATTACTATTTTGTTGTTCTGGGGTGCCCTGGGACTGTACCACTTGCCCAAGTTTGCATAGGCTGGCTCTTCTCCTGGGATGTACATTAAGAAACTGATTTTTTTTTTAACTAGCTTAAAACCATATGTCAACAGAAATGAGGAATTTTTACATGCATTATTAGAAAGTAAGAGAAAGGAGTAACTGATGAGCGATAGGAAGTGGCATTCCACTATGGTGTCATTCTGAGTTGTGAATCATGATGTATTTTGCAAAACTGCTGTTCAAACTTTTGATGTTCTGTGCTATTAGAATGGTAAGTAAATTTTCATGTTGTTTTTCTATAGAAAAGTTTTTTCAGAAATGTAGTAGCCTGACAGCAAACCATAAACACAGTGCTTTGCTTTTGCATGTTGCCCCCAGTCCAGTCCCGAACATCACACCCTAACTGCCTACATCTCGAAAACATCGCCTAAAGACACACACCCTTTCGTTACAAAAACTTACCACAACTAACCACACAGGGAAAAGTTTATTCAAAAAAGGAGCTGGACCAACTTAATTCTTTGCACCATGCAGTCAGTGAAAAATACTTCAAATTTGCCCATTTTATAAGCGGAGTAAATTCCATGGCATTTGACTATGTAGTAACACTCTCAGTGCACTATCCGACCAGTAATGCCGAAGCCCCATTAAAAGAGTTTTCATTAGTCACAACTAAAACTCATATTTAAAATTATGGAGAGAAAGCTGCAGAGCTGTAAGAAGCTCAGTTTCCACCAAGGATGGAGGCAGACAACAGTTTTTAAGAGGGTCAAAATCAGGAATAATAGAGGCAGTGTTTACTAAGATGTAAGATGCCATTTATTATCCTGACGTTGTCTCTGGCCAAACAGGTTTGGGAGGCTTCTAACGCCGACTGCAAACAGGGTGTGAAGCGGTGTTGGTTTTAGTCTGCACTCTACGTGAACTATGCAAGACGCTGAACCCTCCCCTCCACTCCCAACAAAGGTTCAGCACGTCCAGTAACTCTTGCCAAGCGCAGACCAAAATCCAGATTCACAAACCCACCCCCTCCGCCGAAACTGCCATTAACCGGCTGCCATTGTTCTAAAGCATGATAGGCACCTGGAAAGCCTGGGCATTTTGTCTTGTTACTCAAGTTTTATCAGATTAAAAAAAAAAGAATTCTACACGTTGTCCGCATGGAATTAGACTCTGAGAAAGAAGGCTGTTTTTATCCTTCTGTTCTCTCAGCTTAGCAGGCTTTCTTCAGGTCCCCTTCTGTCACATGAAAAGGGAAGTGGCAGAGAAGAGAAATGAATTAAAAAGAGAGAGGAGTCTACCTATCAGAAATTTTGAAAAATTGTTAGATGCTTTGCTTCTGAGCTAAAAGCCAGTTGTATGGGTTTTTCTGGGAGTTGTATATCAAAGAGTAAAAATGTCTCATCTCCCATATCTGTATTCTATGCAATAGGAGTGGACGGTGATGGCCCTCCAGGTCATTCGGACTATATTTCCCATTATCCTTCACTATTGGCTCTACCCCAGCCCTGTCACCCAGCTTCAGACTTGCTCCAACTTTCTCCAGCTTTCCTTGCCTGCCAACGATCACGTGCAGGAACGTTGCTTGTTCTAATAATTTCGTGGCTGGGGCCTCTTGTGGACTGAGGGTGAAGAGGCAAAAAAATTGGGGGTGTTGTCCCACTGCTGTCATGAGCCTCTGGCTTCGTGACCATGTCTCAAAGCATTGTAGGGAAACAGACCAGGAACCTTGAAGACAGCCCTTTCAGATGTTAAAAACACCTTGTTATCTATATCTTTGGACTGATTGTTCCGTGCTGGCCCTTATCCAAAGGAACACAACCTTGACAGGCTTGGAGGCCAAATCTGTGTCCCCGGATTCTGCCACACGTTACACCAGGCTTCAAAAATGGCAGACTGATCTCAGAAGGAAGGACAGCTGGACCTGGTGGGGTATTTCCAATTTCAGCTCATTGGTCCACATAATAACCCATAAAAGTTTTACACTGCATTCTAAGGGTCTGTTTACTCAAATGAAGAATGTTACTCTGAGCGTTGAGCAGGGGGGTTGGACTTGATAGCCTTAGAGTGTTATAGATTTATCAGATGGGCAGGATATAAATCAAATAAATAAATCAAATAAATAAATAAATAGTCCCCTCCCAGCTCAATTATTCTATGATCCTTCAGAAAGTGGGCATAGGGCCACCCTGCCAATTGACAAGGTTACAGCTAGAAGTCTATTGACAGTTCACAGTTCTTTAAAGGAAATTGCATAATTCATGGTATCAGATTGCTGCTCCTTAATGAACTGCTGGCTGGGTCCCAGAGCACATCCAATGTCTTATTACTGAGCAGCAATATGCTAACATGATTTTATGCCACTTCCTTGATGCAAGTGTGAATTGGCAATCGGATTTGGCCTGGAGGTGTCAAGCTTTGCAGATCTATTAAGGATGCATTTAGGCCAGGGCATCTTGTTTGAGAAGACACCCCAAATATCTCTGTTTATGATCTAGGGTGCATACCTGCTTGAGTTAGGAAGCAGGCTTTGCATGTGGGGTGGTTGAAGCTTTGCTGACTTGATTCGAAATGGCTACCACCGTGCTTTTCAAACAGGCCTTTAGGTCCATCTTCCCCAACTGGGAGATGTTCTGAGTATCTGCAAGTTTTTAATTGATGTGCGGTCCCCATCTGTGGAGTTTTTGGTGCGTTATATCATTTTGTGATTATGATGTCTGTTCTAGTACTCTTATCTGCCATTTTAAGTTGAATGTTTTGTTATGCGTTCTTTGCCATCACCACGAGACAGGGAGGATATAAGTACAATACATGCACGCACACGCGCGCGCACACACACACACACAACTAATGCGTGAAAGCCGGTGTCCTGCAGAGTTTGCATAATATTTGGTTCAAATTTCAAATTGAGCTCCTTCAGCAGAAATCATCACTCTGAAGGAGCTCTGACCTTGCTTTGCAGGATCCGTGCATATTTTGTGGCAAAGAAAACCAAAGAAAGCTATATTTAGCTTTCACACACCTACATACTTAATGGATGTTTAATGCGTCCCTGTTGGAGGGCTTTATCATCAAAGACCTCATCTTAAAATGCTTTGATAAAAGCCTGCAGATTGGAGCTTCTTTTTATCTAAATAAAGACTCAGAGTCAGCACAATCAACACCATCCTGAGAAGTTACATCAGCCTCTGGAAGAATTGTGTGTAGGAGTAAGACGCAAAATGTGTCTGGTTAGGCCTCTCAACCGACCACACACCAAATCCAATTAATTTAATATCGGTGTTTTAAATTCATTGATTAATTGAGTATTTGCATGTAAATATAAATGCTTGCAAATTAACAGAACCTCAATATGCATGCTATTTAGTATGTTGACAGAATGGTGAGATAAGTTCCTGTTTAATTTTAGATGTTCCTAGACAGCCTTAATGGAGGAGGGGAAAAGCCATCTTCAAATTTTACAGTAACTATACTTTTCAGAAAACATGACACAGAATTAATTGGACTCTTGGAAGCTTATTAAAGTCTCCCCCAGTGTTAAAGGGCAGCTAACACAAGAGAGAGAGAGGCTGAAATCCTATTATGACACTTTACACCACGTAAGGCTGATGACATCACCCAGAGCTGGCCTGACCTGAAGGCGCCATTGTCTCCTTCTCTAACAACAGGACATAAGCCTGCAGATCTTGGGCTACTCTCCCTGTTGTTGATTAGCAAAAATGGAATCTGCCATGGTCCTTTCTGGGAGGTGTGTTTCAGGCTCTATAGTGGAGAACCCCCAAAGAACGATGATGACCAGAAAGCCCCACAGTCACTTCCATTTTGTTCCTTAAAAACAGGAAAAGTAAGCCTGAGAGATAAAGATCTACTTCCTGTTGGTCAAGAGGGAGACACGGAGCTTCTGAGACAGAGCATGCTCTAAGTGGGCAAAATACAGATGTTTCAGAGGGTCTGCAGGTGTGCCTCTGTAGAACTCCCTGAAGTCTGCTTTGGGAATGCTGGGAGAATTCTGGGATTTGGAGTCAAAAACATCTGGACGATAATATCCCTGTTGGTTGTGCCTACACATCTAATCAGTTGGGCTACTCTCTCTGTTGTTGATTAACAAAAATGGAAGCTGCCGTTGGGGCATCATGATACGGTGAATGATTACTACCACTACTGGTAATTTAAAAACTCAGGGGGTTATTGGTTAATTTGCCAAAGATTTACAGTGCAACCCAACACCTCTTTACTAGTTTGTCTACAGGGCGTATTCAGTAGGAAACAAATACAGGTGGTGCTGCATGTAAACAAACAGATGAGCCTGAAACCTTGTGTGTCTGCATATGATGCATTTAGGCCATGGTGTGTTGCTTCAGAATATGTTCCCAAATGTCTTTGTTCACAATCTGGGTGCATACCTATTTAAGGATGCAATTAGCATACATGCACATACACTTGTTCCTCCCAGTGTTGCTGACTTGATTGGCATTATCGGCGCCCACACTTATTGACACATGTCACTTTCTTCTGTCACTCAGACCAGTTTCCCTTACTTATCACATCTGTGTCCCCACCTTTTTTCCAAGGAGATCCAGGCGGATCTTGTCCCCACCTCGCAACAGAATCTCTTGTCATGTAAGCAAGTTGGAAAGAGGACAAGTGAGAAGGTGTTATTTATTTATTTGATTTATTTGATTTTTACCCCGCCCCTCTAGACCATGTCTACTCGGGGCGGCTAGGTTAGGTTTATATGCCAAAAGCTGTGCTTTTGTTATTTTTTCCTCTTGCTAAATGCATAAATTTTAGAATGATGTTGCTTGCCCCACATAGAGTGGAACCATTGAATCAGTTGCTGGATGGCGAATAAATCCCTTTGATTCCAAAGATTGATGGCTCTTAATTGGAAGTAACGATTGGATTCAGCCCATTGCTTCTGTAGTGCCATCCATGTACCCACAGTCACATGTTTCAATGCCTTGATCATACAATTTTTTCATCAACAGATCGGTCTGTCAATAATTATTATGACCTACCAAATTAGGTATACAGTACAGTACTCATTTTTCATGAGGTCACAAAGAGTCGGACACGACTTAATGACTAAACAACAACAACAGTACTCGGAAGCAGTTTATTGCTTCCATTTTCTTCTAGCACTCAGGGACTGTGAAGTTTTTGCCATTTCTGGACAATCTTGGCTGGCCCCAATCCCAGGAGAGAGAGGTGGAGATTCAAACTCCTGGCTCCAAGGACTTTGAACCAATGAATTACATGGGTCTGCATCTAGCCATCTATCTACACTCAGACATTTTAATGCAATAATGATTTTTTTACACAAGTAATTGATCTACCAATTAATATCTAGGTCAAAGCAATATTTAGAAGCAGAAACGGTGTATTGTTTTGGATGCATACTTGAGGCATATCGGAGGGTGGAAAAGTGACCTTAGAGCACAAGGCTGCTCCGAGGTAACATGTACCGTATCTTTGAAAATTCATGCTCTTGGACTGCCACTTCTCTGCTAGCTTGGGAATTCTTCAGAGTCGCAGTTCAAGGAGGTACCATATTCAGACTTTGTTTTAGAGTTGCCTTCTCCAGCCTGGTGCTGTCCAGATGCCCCCCTTTTGCTAAATACGTGAATTCCCATCAGCCTCATCAACAGCAATCTTGGTTGGGCCAATGGGCATTGTCAGTCAGCACATCTGGAGGATGCCAGATTCAGAAAGGCTGTCTAACAAGCATCCTATAATAACGGGAAAAGAAAATAAGCAGCTTGGAGATGTTACAGTTTCTGTAGGCATGTGTAATTTTTTTAAAAAATGAATTGAAAAATTAGTTTGCTATCTGACTGAAGATAAGCATTCAATAATCTTAAAGACAGCAGTAATCTTAAAACTCTATCGATTATCAAATCCAGCCCCTGTCAAGGAGGCACAGTGAGGAATCAAACTGCCAATCTCTGGCTCCATAGCCAGCTACCTAAGCGACTGAGCTATCCATTCTTTTGGTTGTTGTGGGTTTTTCGGGCTCTTTGGCCGTGTTCTGGAGGTTGTTCTTCCTAACGTTTCGCCAGTCTCTGTGGCCGGCATCTTCAGAGGACAGCACTCTGTGCTCTGGTGTAGTTGGCTTGGGAGTGGAGTATTTATGGCTGTGAGATAGGCTTTTGCTATCCATTCTTTTAGTCAATCAGAATTTTTTAAAAATGATTAATCCAAACAATTGATTGAACACTACAGTTCTGAATAGATTGACATGAGACTTCCTACAAGTCTGTCAGGAAGTCTCATGTCAATCTGTGATATTTTCCTGAGAGAAACTGCAGATCAGCTGTCAGACAGAAAAGGTTTATCCCTGCACTGACAAAATACTGTTTTTAATGTCATTTCAGGAATCATTTTGTCAACTATTGTGACGTCGGACCCTCAGAAGCTGCCTTTCCTGCTGATTTTGGATGCCAAAACATTCACGGAAATAGCACGGGCGACCGTCAATGTGGAACTCCACCTGGATTTACACGGGATCTTCATACATGAGAAGGACTTGCCACTGGAGCATGAGGTAGACCTAGACAAAGACGAAGATTAAAGGAATGTTCCGTCTTGTAAAACAAAGGACATGGATGAAGCTGCTTGCGAAGAATTTGTTTATACGCCAGTCCTCGCCAGATATACCTACGTATTTCAACCAATATAAATGGCCCAGTTCTGGGCACTGTGCTGGCACAGTGATCTCTATATATGTGAAACCTTAGCACTTACTGTTTGGTGCTACAAAATGAAGGGTAGACAGAGTCCATAGCTATATTTGCACTATGGCACTAAGGAGAATGTTGTATGTATTACCAACGCCACACACTTGAGTCGCTAGGTATTCCAGATGGGAGTTGGATTTCTTGGGCTACAAAACCCATAATTCCTCATTTTGGGAGTCCTACTTAACAAACACCTAATTGTGGCTCACCTGGGAGAAAAGGCCTAAAGTAGCAAGCTTTGAGGTTTAGCTAGGCCTAGCTCTGCTCAGTTTCCTGTCAAAAAAAAGAAAGAAAGCTCCCAGCTAGCAGCATGGCAGGAAGAAGAAGCTTGAATGGAGCTAGGCCTCAAAGCCTTCACATATAGGTGTCTGCAAGTCAGATAGAACAACAATGGGGAATTATGGGCTTTGTCATCCAAGAAATACAAAAATCCCCTCCTTATCTAGCTGTAGTGCAAATGACAGTAGATTCATTGAAATAAATGGGACTTAATGTTTGTGTTGAGTAAGAATACCTGTTCAGTTCCATGTGTCTACTTTGGAATTAGATTTGGATTTAGCCCACAAGGATATAGATAGTTCTGAAGCTGACCGCTCTCAGTGCTGGTGCCTTTAAAGCCACTGAATATGTTTCTTGTGCTGATCTGTTTGGAAGCCATCTCAGGGCTCAATCATACGTGAGAAAGGAACTCCAATTATACTGATTCTTTTCATATCTCTCTTGGACCAATACTTTTTCCAGCGGTCATGACAGACAGACAGACTGACTGACTGACAGATAGATCGATAGATTAATTGATAGATAGATCGACAGATCGATCGATAGATAGATCAGCAGAAGTAGTCACATTGTTTAGATAGATCAATAGATCGATTGATAGATAGATCGATAGATCGATCGATAGATCAGCAGAAGTAGTCACATTGTTTTTATTTGCATTGATTCATTTCTTTCTATTTGAACCATTACAGCAGGGTCCACTGCTCTTTCATTTTGTATCAGTTCATTTTCTGTTTCTTGGGGCAATTACCCCCTCTTGTCCTTTTTTTAAAAATAACAAAAGTGATATATCAATAGTGCAATAGAGCAAGACAAACCTTCTGTCCTCCTCCCATTTACCCTTCCCTCCTTTACTCACTCACCCCCTTCCCCTTATTTCCCTACATATCTTTCCCTCTCAGTTCTTGGCTTTCCCCCCCCACTTTTGCGCAGTATCAGGAGGAGGAGGTGTATCATGAAAAGCAGGGTTTTAAAAAAGAGAAAGTAGGCATTCATGCTTACTCATTTCCTAACAATCCAAAGCAGGAAATGTCTCTTTTTCAAACCCTCTTTCACTCATGAAGGGGTAAGACTGTTTCATTCATTCGAGCGGTTTCCTTCCAAGCAATGTATTCATATTGTTTTACATGAGTAGCAATGGCTGCTACTAGCAATTTGCTGATATTTCTTTACATTTTTTAAAGAGTACAAGCACAGTGGCCATGAAGTGGCCACAGCACCCAGAAACCCAATCCCTTCACAAAGGAAATAAATTGACAGCAAGGTTCACACATGCTCAAACAATAAGGAATGACATGATACATCATTGGTACGATTTAAAGCAACCCTCCTGGCAAGGGGGGAAATAAACTGCTTGCCAGGGGAAATAGATTGATGTTGACTGTGCGTCATGTGAGTGGAAAAATAGGAAATGATCTAAATAAGAGCCAAATCAGTATAATCAGTGTTCTTTTGACTCGTGTGATCAAGCCCTCACCTTGATGCCCTTGTCTGTTGAGATATAAAACCTCCTTTGGGCTTCCCAAACAGTTCCAGTAAATGTGTAGCAGCAATCTTTTCCAAATGTTTATGGGCAGCCTGGTGGCTGGCATCTAGACACCGTCCCAAAGCAAGGTTTCATCAAGGGACATAGAATGGTTTGTGCTTTGGGGGGGATACTGTAGATGTCATTCATTTTGCTTGAGTTCAACACAGCCTCCAGTGTTACCATGTTCTATCCTGACTTTTATGAAGTGTTGCCTAATAGTTTCAAAGCACTACTTAGAAAATTTATTTGCGTGCAACTGAGGTTAGCATCTTAATTCCTTTTCTTCATGCGGTGTGAGCCAAGGGCAGTTGCTCCAGTGTTTTGCTAGTTATCTGCATCTCTGCAAAGAACATGTGACTATTCCCTGCTTGTACAAGTGTGTTTACAAGGTGATGTGTAACATGAATTGCATTTGCCTACTTTTTATATAATCTTCATTATGTTCATCAAGACTGTTCATAATCCAAAGCAGAAACAAACAAGCCGAACCCTCTATAATCAGGGTTTGTCAGAACTGTAATTAGCTTGAGTTCCAATGTCAACTAATTACCAGGGTGCTTTATTTTCTCAGTTCAGGGTCAAACTAGACTAGGCACTTAATTCATATTTATAAACAGTGCTCCCTGAAGTGGTAAAAGAGGTCTGTTTCCTCACACAATCTTTTCTCTCCTCTGTGTCTTGCATTCCAGTGAGCTTTGTTTTGTGTTTGGTCATGGGAAGCTAAACATATGTTGCAAATTTGATTGTGGGAGAAAGAACAGGATTTTCCCCCCAGGGAATGCACATTTCCCTTAACATCTAGTTTGACCCTTCAGTAACCAAAGTGAAATGCCAAATCATGGTGCTAATAATTTTTTTGACCTGATGTTTAAGTATCACTAACACAAATCTTTAAAAAAAGAAAGAAAATGGAAAATAATAAGCCAGGTGTTGTTCTCTCTGTGTACAAGAACAATTAAATTTCATTTCGAACAAAGCATGGTGTCATATTTCACATAATATTTTTGATTAAAACAAGCTTTCTGTTTCCAATCTTCAGCCATGCTAGTTGGTGTTCTTTCTACTATCAAGGTCTCTGAGTTATTGGGATGGTAAGTGCTGGAGGACGAGTAAAAGGGGTGGACTGCTCTGTGGGAACTTGAATCTATTCTGCTCTGGGAATCCCTGCACTTCAGCTGCACAGCTAGAGGACTTTACCAAAATTCAAAACTCTGCAACATAACCATCATGGTCTGTAGCTTTTGTTGGCTAAGGATTCTGGGAACAGCAGCCCTAAAAGTAACATTCCTGTCAGTCATTATACCGTTAAAGGTAAAAGGTAAAGGTTCCCCTTGACAATTTTTGTCCAGTCGTGTTCGACTCTAGGGGGCAGTGCTCCTCCCCGTTTCCAAGCCATAGAGCCAGCGTTTTGTCTGAAGACAATCTTCCGTGGTCACATGGCCAGTGCGACTTAGACACGGAACGCTGTTACCTTCCCACCGAGGTGGTCCCTATTTATCTACTTGCATTTGCACACTTTCGAACCGCTAGGTTGGCGGGAGCTGGGACAAGCGACGGGCGCTCACTCCGTCGCGTGGATTCGATCTTACGACTGCTGGTCTTCTGACCCTGCAGCACAGGCTTCTGCGGTTTAGCCCGCAGCGCCACCACGTCCCTTCATTATACCATTAGGCCCCTGCAAATTTTCATACCGCAATAACTGTGTTTGTTCTTTTTGCTGCATCTGTACATGCTTCTGGGGCGAAGCCCATTCATCTAGAAACACGAAATCTGTGACAAGTCTTTAATGGGAATGGGGTTGCTCAGGAGTAGCAGTTTCTTCTTCTGTTCTCTTGACAAAACCATGTGATCTAACTGCCACATTTACACTGGTGCAGCTTAAGCCAACCTGAACAGCCAGGTTGTCTAGTTCTTTAGCTAAAACACACCCTGTCTGTGTAACAGATGAATCGGCAATTTGGAAACTCTTTGGGCCCTCTTGCAGAGAGAAACCCAACCTAATTGTGCCCTTGCAGGGAACTTGGTGAATTTCAAGATGGCAATTAAGATGCCACACCATGAATGGCTTCGCCTAGAGAGAGACTTTGCACCCACCTAGACTTGGATGAATGTGTTTCCATTTGAAAAATGTTGCAAAGCAAAAGTGACTCGAACCTCGCCATGATGCACGTGATGGTATCTCTCCAGCTATGTTGATAAACTCCAGAAGGCGAGGTGTGCATTCTGCAGGGCTTGAAAAACATTTTTTTTTTTGCCCTAAATCACCCAAAAGTATAAGGAGAGGCAGTCAGGGAGTGAGATGGTGCATGGCTGTGCTTGATCCTGGTGTCATTCGAAGCAACAAAACCCCAGAACACAAGCACACCTTCATGTTAAGCCGGTGTGTCTTGGCACCAGCTGGGAATGAGTGCAAAGGAGCACCCAGATTTCAAAGACATCTCCCTAACCTCCAGATGTCTAGCTACCTCTTCCTCCTGGTTTCTCGCCCAGAGACTCGTCTCCCACCGGCAGAGATGGAGAAAAAGAGCAAATGCTTGAGACTGCGATTGGCACCCCAAGATGTGGGAACTTCACATGCCACCTGTAGCCTTAAAATGGAGCTGAGGAGGTGGAAATGGTTCACCATAATTCACTCTGGTGCAAGAGCCTTTCGTAGTGGGAGTCTTCTTAATTTCTCTTACCGAAGCAACGATGTCGTAAGCAAATCCAAGGAAGCTTGGTGCAACCTTGTGAATTTCCCACAATGCTCACAGTGTGATGCATCAGAAGGACAGCTCTCAGATCTAGACACGCTACGCAGGAAGTTTGGATAGGGAACCTCTGAATGATCTGCCATACTAGCACCCAGTAGACCTTAGTAGCAGCTGAGCATCCTGTGTGTTCATAATGGGCCTGATACAAACATACGTATTTATTTTTCACATTGATATTCCAACTTTTGTCCAGTAATCTCAAGGTAGTATACGCCCGGGAGACCTAAGTAGCAGCTGAGCATCCTGTGAGTTCATAATGGGCCTGATACAAACATACATACTGTATTTATTTTTCACATTGGTATTCCACCTTTTGTCCAGTAATCTCAAGGTAGTATACCCAATAACCCTGGAAGGTAGGTCAACCTGAGAGAAATCCGGGTGGGGGGGAGAGTAATTGGGCCAAAGTCACCTAGAGCATTTAGTCTTGACTCCATGTAGGCAAACAATAGAAAAGGGTGTGTGTTTTTGTGGAGCAGGCCAAAGCCGGCTGATGCTCCTGGTTGGATGACCTGGTTTACTCCAACTTTATTAACTGCAATAACAGCACTGGAGCCAGCTGTTAAATTAGGATGCAGGATCCTTCCCTTAACTTACATAAATAAGAAAGGAAGGCTTACTTCTATCCTCTGACCCAAACAGATAATTGCCCTTAATTGTGAGTAACTTCATGCATGAAGTTTTCCTTATATGGGGGTATTTCTGTATCAAAAACAAGTGTAATGTAACCAACATGGCTTGCACAGTGCAAAGGGCACCCTATGGTCCTCCAGTTGATGATTGACCTACCCAGCATAAAAGTTGCTGAGCCACTCTTTATTCACTTCTGAAATGAACCCCCCCACCTGTAAATGCATAGTCAGATGACAAAGAGAAAACCTAGGATCTTCTTGAACAAAGTTCAAAATTAGGTCAAGGTAGCCAACAACAGATACACAGAGAATGCACGTTTTAATTTTATTTTAGCACACATAGTAACAGAAAGAAAAGATTGGATAAAGTCTAAAGCAGCAGGACGATCCTTGGTGAGTTGAATAGCAGGAGAGCCAAAGAAGATGGAGGTGAGGAATTATAGCTTGGCTGGGGAGGATGATGGTGGGACAATATTTGGAAGCCCGGGCACAAACTCAGGTTTCCATGGCAGAGCCTTGGATGTGTCAAGAAGACGACAGAAAAGTTCAACACATTCTTAAGAGAGAAAGTTGGAGCGAACATATGTGTTACAAAAGAAAAAGGGAGAAACTAGATTTCCTTCCTTCTTGTTCTCAGAAACATGGAAACTCACAAGACGGCACGGCTGCCCTAAAGCCAACCACCACCATGCTGTCTGGGGGATTCTGGGAGGTGGAAGTTCAAAAGCTCTTGGAATTCATGAGAGCAGGAGATTCACCTGAGTCGGATTGACCTACCCGGCATAAAAGTTGCCACTCTTTATTCTTTATTCATGAGAGCAGGAGATTCACCTGAGTCTTGTTGATACGAGGACGCAACATGAAGTGTTATCAAACAAAAGAAGGAAAAATCTGGGAGTAGGGACCAAAACCAACTAGGCCATTTTCAGGAAGTCCTCCAGAACCCTGCACGAGGTGGAAGATGGTTGCAAAAAAAGAACTCAGACTTGACCGAAGCAATGTCACTGCTGAGATCCTAACTACTCCAAAGAAAAAAAAAGTAGAATGAAGAGGTAAAGTAAGTGGGAAAAGGAAATAGTAATATCTCAGAACTAAAGAGCTGGAAGGACAGATCCTGAAGCTGAGGCTCCAATACTTTGGCCATTTCATGAGAAGAGAAGACTCCCTGGAATAGACCATGATGTTAGGAAAGTGTGAGGGCAAGAGGAGAAGGGGATGACAGAGGACGAGATGGCTGGACAGTGTCATTGAAGCGACCAACATGAATTTGACCCAACTCTGAGAGGCAGTGGAAGACAGGAGGGCCTGGTGTGCTCTGGTCCATGGGGTCGCGAAGAGTCGGACATGACTAAACGACTAAACAACAACAAAGAGCTGGAAGGGACCCCACGGATCTTGAATTTCAGCCTCTGTCAAGGAGGCCCAGTGGGGAATCAAACTCCCAACCTATGGCTCTATAGTTAGAGAACAAATCCACTGTGCCTTCTTGACAAAGTCTGGACTTGAAGATCCATAGGGTCCCTTCAGTTCTGAGAAAAGGAAGTAAGGGTGGAAGGGAAGCTCCCTAAACACAGGTCAAGGCTTAGCAGGCATGTCCTTGGATCTGTGCCTCGCCACAGGAACAGTGAACCACAGTCTTCCTCACCTCCGAGGGGATCAAACCACAGAGCATCTCACCACCACCACCCACGTTGCAGCTGGACAGAGAAGCTCTGTATCTATTTACTTTTTAACATGAAGGCTGTGGGATTTTGAGGGTTGTCGCTCAAAAACCGGAACGTTTCCACGGTCTGAAATGGATGCTGCCTAAATGTAAGGATGGCATTTCACTGAGAATGAGGCTCAAATCCAAACAGTTTGTTGCAGATAACAAAAGCATATGTTGTGTCTTGTGGGGACTGGGGGCAAATTGCCTCTACCTTACGCCTTGCTGACTTCCAGGCAGATGGATTTTAATTGGATGCCCCAGTGGATTATGTGCCCACACCAGCCTCCTCCAGCCAAGCCATGTAGCCTGTTTTCTTTCAGGCTTGTCCTAAAGGCGACTCTTCCGGTTTGTCTAGATCTTTCTTAAAACAGGAAAGACAAATCCTAATTTAGTACTTTCATTTAACTTTAATAAATATGGACTTAATGTTTACTCCCTACGCCTTAGGGGTGTGATGCCGAGTGCATTTCACAGTGCTATTTACTTTTCATCTCCTTCCTTTCTCCTAGTTATTTCCTGTTCGTTAGGGCAGCCAGGAACCAGCTTGACAATTAGACAGGGCTTGGGAAATTTACTTTTTCAATTACAGCTCTTGCCAAAATATTATTTATTTACATATTTTGGACAACAACTCCCTTCTCTTGGGCTAAAAATCCCAGTTGTTTTTTTTTTTTAAACTAGGACTCTTTTACTTTATTATTCTTCCAACTCCCAGAACGTGATATCAGATGACAACTCTCTCTCTTTTACAACTCTTTTTTTAAACTACGATTCCCAGAATTCCCTCAACCGGCTTCAGGCTCCCCTCTCGTTTTCCCGAGCTAAGGGCGGAAAGGCCGACCGGAAACGCCTTCCTCCCACTTCCGGCTTGGCCTAACTCCCCAGGCTTCCGCTTCCTCCTCCCTCCTCCAGGCGGAGCGAGAGGTGACGTCACCCGGTGGGAGGAGGCGTGGCTGAGGAGGGACCTATTACCCCCCGGCTGGGCGAAGAGGGCGGGCTTTTGCGAGGAGTGGCGTTGTCGTCGGCGCATGCGCGTCACGGGGGTGGGGGAAAAGGCAAGGAAGCCGGGCCGCGGCGAGGCCCAGAGACGGCGCCATGGCGACCCGGGCGTCGGGCAGCGTCGTGTCGGACCCGCAACACCCGGCGCGGCTCCTGCGGACCCTCCGCTCCTTCCACCAGGAGGGCTTCTTCTGCGACGCCCACCTGGTGGTCGACGGCGAGGAGATCCCCGTCCAGACGAACATCCTGGCCGCCGCCAGCCC